TATTAAGATTAAAAATAATCCTATTACTAAATTACGAATATTTTGGTCAATAAAATAATTTATAATATAATTTATGTATGAAAACTATAATATAACTATTATAATGTAAACTAATTAAATTAAGTATGACTTCAGATCATATTCTAAAATTATAAACATAAAAGCTTATTTAATTTCATAATTAAATTAAGTTTAATTCAAAGTATTAGGATAATGGAATACTCAAAAATTTAATATAAAATATTAATCATTTTACAATTTCAATCATTAAATAAATATTTTGGAGTGTAAATTAAAAATGAAAAAGATTTAAATAAAAATTAATCATTTACAAGATTAATTTAATGATAAAAATATATTTAACCATTTAATAATCAATTATACATTAATATTTCAATTTAGAATTATGAGAAATCAATAATTACTATATTTGAAATTTATAGTATGTGAAATAATCATATTTGTCTTAATTATAGACAAAATGATTGATATATAGATTTAAACAATAAATAATAATGTTAAATTCAAATATATTGAATCATAAACTTAATCTCTTTTATTATTCTAAAAATGAATCAATATTTTGGATTAAAGATTTAAAATGCAAAACTACTGTCATTGCTCCTTAATAATCTAATTAATTGACTTCTTTTGTTCGAAAAAAACATGGAGCAAACACTATTGATAAATTATGTAAATCCATCTAAATTTTATTTATATTTATATTTTTTACCCTATTTTCTTTTTCAAATCCAGCAATAAATTTAATGAATTCTACTAATTTGAAAACAGTTAATCTATTCACTTTGGATAAATGAGCAAAAAATATGCTAAACATATCTACAAATTCATTAGTTGGTATCTAAGGATTAGTATCTCTTAAAATTGCATAAATTTCAAATGGAAAGATTGGATTTTTCAAATTAACTAATGTGTTTTTTAATACTGTTGCTATTACATCAGGTTCTGAATATTATATTGCTTCATAATTTTATTATAATAATTATTCCACTAATTTCATTTCTTCTTCATGGGAACCTGACAATCTAAATATTCCTTCTTTAAGTAAACAATTAGTATTTTATGTATAATATTTTATTATCTCTTCAAGGAATATAGGAAGTCCGGACTATCCAATAGGATAAGAATCTAAATCTCTTCCATAAAATGATTATTATTCCTAATACTCAATTTAATTGCATAAGAATTTTAAAATTGACTAATGTAATTCAATATCATATGTATCTAGAAATGAAACACTTAAATAAGTAACTATATTTAATACTTGTTAATAAAATGCAATTTTTCTTTAAGTAGATTTTTGAGTGAAAATGGTATTGATTTTTCCTTTTTTCCATAATTTTAATTGTTGCTAATAATAATCAATTTATCAATTCGCTTTAATTGTATTTATTCCACCTTTCTCTTAAATAATGTAAAAAATTACTTTAAAGTTTTTTTTATCAAATGTTTAACATCTTTTGCATTCATTTATCCATCATTTTAAGAACATATAATTAAGACAAATCCTCTATAATTAATTGAATATAATACTTAAAAGGTCTGAATTATTATAAATAGGATTCAAACTTTTTGGCTATTTCTTCTTCGTTTTTATTTTTAATAATCAAATTATGCAACATAACATAAATGGGTTATTGATTTTTATCAATACCTTAAGAATACTTGAAATAAAAAGTACCTGCTTTTAATAATCCTTGAATTTCATATTATTTTCCTTAATTCATTTATAACAAAAAATATTTATAATATAGCTTTCTTTTTGATTGATTAATAAAATAATATCCATAATAAACAATTTATATTTAATGAATGAATTAGATAACTATTATATAGAATATCTTTTTTTTTTTATAAACTTAATTTAATTTAGTTAATATTATTATATAATCATAAAGATTCATTTTTTTATTTTTATATAATTTAAATGGGAAATTTTTCATTTAAATCAATGCTACTTTTATATAGATTTATTGGATACTGAGTTTCAAAATTAATTATTTAATTTACAAGTTCCTATATATCATTCCTCATAGTTGCAGATTACTAATTTTTTATAACACTTAATATATTATATAATTTGAGTATTTCAATTTTTCGAAATATTGAATCTTGTAAAATCTCTTTTACTTCAGTTTAGAATTATAACTTTTGCTATAAAATTAGTGATAAAATTTTATCTTAAAATTGAGATAATTGCAAATAAAATTTATGACAAGTATTTTGAATCTCTTTTTAATAATTTTAATATTACTTAATTAAGTCTTCATTACAGCTTTGAAGACCCTTTTAAACTAAATCCAATTTAGATACCAAATCTAAAATATCATTGTCTTATTCAATTGATGGATGGAACTCTTAAGGTCTTATATAAACAATAGCAAGTGCATATTCCAATTAATATTTTGCTATCAAATGAATGATATATGATAATGCATAATTTTATTATATGTTATTAATCTATTTAATAACATATTCACAGATTTTAAATCGATTATATAACACTTCCAATAATTTGTAGTATATTTACACATCTTCAATCAAAGTTCTTTGTTTTTTTTTCTCTATAAATTTTATACTAACATATGAAACAGAATTCTAGAATTTAGGAATTAAATCAGTTTCCTCTATTCCTTTTACATTCATAACTGGATGATTAAATATATCTTCAAATGAAGCTCTTTAATCCTCCTAATAGACAACCATCTTTTCAATTAAATCTTTTAATACATCTGCTCTACTAAAATTAAGTGGTGGAGTTTTAAATGGTTATTATTTCAGTTATTTTAAACTTTTAATTAAATTAATTTTTGGAATACAATCATAAGGTTCCTGACCTTTATAACATATTTAGTAAAATAGTATCCCATAAGAAAATATATCACATTTTTCTGTACAAGATTCATCAAATATCATTTGAGGTGCAGCATAAATCAAAGTACCTGTTTTTGTTAGAACAGATTTATTTATAGTATCTTCAATTATTTTTCCAACTCCAAAATCTCCTATCTTTTAGGTAAGAATAATTTTTTACTTTGTATATCTTTTTCTCAGTACCTTCTACGTTTTCTTTTTTGATTAATATATTTTCAGGTTTTATATCTCTATGTATTATTTTTAAATTATGAAGTTCTTTGAGAGCTGTTATAATTTACCTAATTATATCAAATACTTATTATTCAGTATACCAAATTTTTTATTCATTCATTCTTTCAAATTCAGAAGATAAATCTTCATCACATTATTCCATTACTATATATACAGAATAATTATCCTAAAAAGTATCAAATGTTTAAACAATATTAAAAAACTAAGGATTACTTTTAGTATAATCTCTTATTGTTTCATTTATAAGCTTTTCCCGATTGTTTTCCTTTTACATTATTGGTATGATCTTAACACAATATTTTTAATTATTATTATTATCATTTATCTTTTCACATGCATAAACTTCTCCATATTATCCATTTCCAAAACTTTAATTTTTATTAATTTTATAGTAATCTGAAAATTTTTTGGACTATTGTAAAGAGTCCATTCGTTAATTTCTAAAATTATTTATATAATTATATAATTTATGTGTCAAATTATCATTAATTCTATTATTAAAAATGTATTCAGATTTATCAATCAACATTATTCATTTATCTATATTCAAACTTAACATTTTAATACATTCTAAATTATACTTATTTTACCAGTGTCTAAGTTGATACATATTATTAATTGCATTAAATTTATAAGTTTTTAATTGTTAAGATAAATAACTATTTTTATTAAATTTACACATTAAAAAAGATTTTTCATTAATAGATATAAATAATAAATAGATATATTGACATATCGATAGGTATTGGAACATTTTAGAAAGAAAAAAGTAGAATAGTAAAAGCAATTAGATGTATTAACAAGAAAAAGAAATAGACAGACCCTTTCAATTAGTCTAAAAGTATGAATATGTGCATAAAGGTACGCTCTTAATTGAGTTAACAAAAGACGAAAGAAACCTGTTACTTTTGATAGTAATATAAAAAGAATTCTGGAAAATTCTAGTCGAGCAGAGCCATTATTTTATATTCTCTTTTACTGAGAAAATCTTATATGCTAGAAAGATGTTATCATTTTATTGTTATAATTATTAATTTTCTGATTATTCAATTTATAAGAGCTGGTTAAATATTTTCTTAATCATTTTATTTTTTATATAACTATTTGGGATTAATAATTGGTTCATTTTTATAACTTTATTTTTTATAAATTACTGTAATCTAAAGTAATTCTTTCAATAAAATATTTTTGTCTGGATTTTCTTATTTTGAATAATTTAATCTTTTGATCAATAGTATTAAAAATGAGAAATTAGAATGCTAATTGTAATAATTTTGCAAATAAATCTTTCTATTTACTTTATAATATGTCTTTTGGGAATTTCTGTGAATCAAATAAATTCAATATTTTTAGAACTAGCCGATTAAAATACATTAAAAAATGCTTGTATTTTGATTTAAGGAAATATTCCTTAAGTCATATTTGGAAATAAATAGTGTATGATCTTTCAACTTTGAGATATGCTTTTAATAAAATTAGGATGAACACAAAATTTAATTAGATTTGTAGATGAATGGAATTCTATTCTGATAAAAAGTATTAAATGTTTGTACACATGAGATTATTTAATAAAATATTGTATAAATCTACATAATTAGATTGTTTAATAATATTAGGAGAATAGGAATAATTTGCAACATTTATTATAATCATTTATTTAAAGTAGATATAGAGAATTATAATATTAAATATAATAGATTACTATTTGATATTAAAAAATGACTAATAATGATTCTAAAAAAATTAGATTTTGATATATTTATTTAAATGGTTTTTCTATAATAACATAAATTAGATATCATTAGTATCTCTTTTTACAACATAAAATAAATAATAATTAATTATCATACTTCCAATTTAATTAAAATATAATGAAACAAAGAGAGAGATCCCATGCATATCTATATAAATAAATTTGTAAACATTTAGATGTCCCTTTTTCATCAAGCTTACTTAATGGGATTTAGGAGACAGAAATTGTTATAGTTTTAGATCAAATCAGTTAATAGGGTAAAAACATCAAAATTCAATAGATATTGAGCCTCTTTCTTTATTGTTACCTTAATGTAAATTTAAGAGGATAATTATAAAAAGTATTTAAAAGAACCTCAAATTGAACAAATCAATGGCTACTGATAATTAGAAAATGGAATTACTTGAAATTTTGAGAGTAATAACAAAGCTTTTTACTAAGGACTTAGATGTAGTCTCATTAGTAATTAGAGATATCAGAATGAATAGTGAACATATGTAGATAATTGCTTAAGGAATAGCAGTTGTTTAATCTTTAAAGGAATTACGTATAATATAATGTTTAATGACTTCTAATCATTTTAGCATATTATAACCATCATTAATATAGAATTCATCATTACATATTCTTGATTTGTCTCATAATTATTTAACACATTAAATTGGGGTTTTATTGGGATAATTAATATAGGAACATAGTAAACGAAGAGACAATGTAGAATATTTATACAGAATAAAAGGAGAATGTCCTGAAGAAGACATTTCTAAAATAGGATTAGAAGAATTGGATTTATCATATAATAAATTAAATGATTAATTTGTAAAAGATATTGTACCATTTTTGGAAAGAGATAGATGGATTAAATAAATAAATCTTAAGTATAATGCAATTTAAAAAGAAGGTTTTGAGATATTAATATAATTACTTGATAAAAATTAAACAATTACAAGTTTAGATATAAGAAGAAATCTTGGATCTACATAATAATTTTAGAAAGAAGTATTAAAAAAATTAATAAGGAATAAGAATACAAAAAATGATATATAATAATAGAGATTGGATGATGATAATGAAAATATTTCAGTTAATGTTTCTGCTATACCTTAAAATTTATAATCTGTTATTTCAGATTAAGAAAGTCCTGTTATGTCTTTTGGTGTATTTGAACCTAATAATCTTACTAAATAAATGTCAAATTCAGGTAGATAAGATTAATTGAAATTTAAATCTGGATTTAAAAATAATGATTTTGGTTGTTCTGATTGTAATCGTTTATAAATAAAATCAAAAAAATAATAATAAATTATTCAATTATTGAAATAAGAAGTTCAATTTTTAAGATTTTAACTTCAAAGTAAATCATCATAATTACCTGAATAATAATAGTAATAATAATCATAATAATAAGTTATAAATGAATTAAATTTCTCAGAAAATAATCATAATCCTCCACCTTAAGAGATTGAATAAGATGATATGGTAAATAAAATAGAATATATGATGAATGATTTAACTAGAATGATGGATGGATTAGATGTTTAAGGAAGTGTAACAAATAATCTAAATGCACATTTATCTAGTACTTTGATAGTATAGGATTATACAAGAGCAATTTTTGAAAGAGAAGATAGAGCAAATGATTTAATGAATATTTTAGACTAGAATAGTAATAATAACCTATCATAATCTTCAGATGAAGAATAATAATGACATTTTTTCTTTTTATTTTTATATAATAATTGCATATTTATGAGCATCTAGGTAATTTATATCATTATTGTTATTCTACTTATTCAGACAATTATGATTTTGGTAACTTTGGAATATCTTACATTTCTAATTCAGCTTCTCTGATTTATTAGGAATTAATCCATTCATCAACATTCTATTATCTTTAGATTTGAGAATATTCACTATTGTAGCTGATTGCAAAAAATATTGCATAAAGCTTTATTTAATAAAATATAATACCACTGCTGTAATAAATAATGCAAATGCACCTTCAATTCTACTATGAGGTACCACATAAACAGTTTCAGATCCAATAGCTATCATTAATCCTAAATATGTCATAAAGATGCATCCAGGAGCTGATATAAACATGCAATATTAAGCACACGATACCATTAAATTTAATTATATAGATTGAAATTAATAAAAATTAAAAAGAAATTCTTTTTCTTATAATATATATTCTTAACTTATTTACAATATTAGGGCAAAAATGTAAATCAATTTTTTAGCTTTTATGCTAACTTAGCTGATCTTGGTGTATTAGTAGTTGTTGGTTATTTAGTGATTCGAGATGAAGAAGTGCTCGACACAACCATTTAACTGCTTGGAACACTAACAGGAGTATTATCGAAATCATATCCATTAAATAAATCTAATTAATATAATATTTATACTTTATACTGAATTTCTTCTAAGCATTATTTATTATTCTTCATTAATCGAATCATCAGAATCTCGTCTACTATCAGAAGGTAAGTAATTGTCTTCATTACCCTAATATTCTTATTTAATAATAAACATTAGGGATAAATGGAGCAATAATCTATTTGGCTATTAACTTCTCCCAACTAAAATCTTTGAACCATGGATGTTCCTTCACTTCATCTGGACCATTGTTTCCCAATCGATTTTATGGCTTCCTTTATAAAAGCTAAATAATCATATATAAATTAATACTCTGTTTGTAAAATCTGCTGCCTCTAAACTCCATCCTGGTGGAATTTCTTGTCTCTTAATAACTACTTATTTGGCTAACATTTGTTCTCTTATCTCTTATCTACTTCTTCCTAAATATGGTCTTCTTCCTAACATGCATTCATATATTATAACTCCAAGTGCAAAATAATCTACTGCTACACCATGATTATGTCCTATTATTAGAAAATTTAGATTTACTACACATAACTTCTGGAGCCATATATCCAGGAGTTCCACTTGTATCTTGTGAATTCTCAGGTTTCCATATCCTAGCTATCCCCAAATCAGTTAATCTGAGATATCCTAGTCTCATTAAATAAATAAACCTTACCATTACTATCAAATACTAAATTTTCTGGTTTAAGATCTCTATGCAATACTCCTTATTAATGTAAGTAATCCAATGCAACTATGATACATCCACTAAAAAACTCTTAGTTTAGATATCATATATTTACTTGTTTATTCTTCATTAAATTTTCTATGTCTCCCTATATGATATCTTAGATCTCCTCCTGATAACAAATCCATCACTAAATATAAATATTCTCGATCTTGAAAAGAATATTACATATTGATTAGAAAACTTAAATTGAATTTCAATTTTTTACTTATGTTTCAAACCACTTAATAAAGTCTTTTCATTCATTACAGACTACACTGATTTCTTTTATATGATTCTATATTTTAATCACTTCTTACTTTGGTTTAGACATAACCTTAAGAGCATAAAATTACTTGTTTTTCTTTTATCTAACTTTCCATACCTTTCCAAATCCACCTCTTCCAATTGCATCAATAAATTAAAAGTTTTATACAGAAACAACTTAAATATCTATTATTATTATATACCATTATTTTCCATAAGATCTTCCTTTTTTTCATTAATATTACAATTACCCATTCTTTTTATTTTTATTATTAATTATATGATTCTTTATACATTAATTTCCAAAGGAAATCTAGTCTTGTCAGAATATACAGAATTAGAAGGTGATTTTACTGAAATGGCTCGTATTGTACTCAAAAGTGTGAAGCCAAATTAGTAAAAATAAATATTTAGTAAAGTATATGATGGTAAAACGTAGAATGAATATGTCTTTTGTATTACATGCATTTCCAATCTTCGATTTCTCTGTATGATCCATAATAGTTAAAATAAAGAAAAAGCTTTTGCATTTCTTGAAGCTATTCATTAAGAATATTCAAATTGTTCTAAAAGTATTTTGATTCTAAAATTAAAGATTCCGATTTTAATAATGGTCAATTTTCAGCTTAATTATGTCGTATGATGAAAGGTTTTAATTAATTGGATCAAAAAGATGCATTGACTAATCTTGAAGAAACTGTAGAAGACTTAAATGAATCAGCATTTTAAAATCTACGTAAAATGATTGGTATATATACTTAAAAAATATTGATTAGAAAGAGAAGTTAGACTTGAAGTATTAGTTAAAAAGACTGAAGAATTGACTAAGAATGCAGATATTATTTTTAAATATAGTAGAAATGTTCATAGAGCAACAAGAGGTAGCGAATTTAGATTTGGAGGAAAAGTCTTAATTCTATCTTTGGTTATATTTGCAATTTTGAGCTTATACATCTATTATCAAATTTGATACTTTATTAATAAATAATATTCATAGTCATCAAAATTATATAACCAATATCAATCCCCTTAAAATATCTATAAAAAGCTTTTAAGATTTCAATAGTTATGATTTAAGTAATTTTTTATTTTAGTCAAATTTTTATTTTAATTATCCAAAATAACGGATTATAGTTCTCTTTTAAATGTTAAATATTCTAATCCATTCTGTAATATATTTTATTATACAAAATCTTCTATTTTTGGAGAATATATATTTAAAATAATAAATAATACTATCAATTTTATTAGATAATATTAGACTAGACTGGATACTTAAAATCATATTAATATGACTTTTTGTTATTTTTATCTAATGATCCAAAAACATAAGTAGATTAATTACTTGATTAAATGGATTGTAGAATGAGAATCATTCAATTTATTAGATGTATCTATAAGAATTATATTTCTAGTATTAAAACNCATACCTTTCCAAATCCACCTCTTCCAATTGCATCAATAAATTAAAAGTTTTATACAGAAACAACTTAAATATCTATTATTATTATATACCATTATTTTCCATAAGATCTTCCTTTTTTTCATTAATATTACAATTACCCATTCTTTTTATTTTTATTATTAATTATATGATTCTTTATACATTAATTTCCAAAGGAAATCTAGTCTTGTCAGAATATACAGAATTAGAAGGTGATTTTACTGAAATGGCTCGTATTGTACTCAAAAGTGTGAAGCCAAATTAGTAAAAATAAATATTTAGTAAAGTATATGATGGTAAAACGTAGAATGAATATGTCTTTTGTATTACATGCATTTCCAATCTTCGATTTCTCTGTATGATCCATAATAGTTAAAATAAAGAAAAAGCTTTTGCATTTCTTGAAGCTATTCATTAAGAATATTCAAATTGTTCTAAAAGTATTTTGATTCTAAAATTAAAGATTCCGATTTTAATAATGGTCAATTTTCAGCTTAATTATGTCGTATGATGAAAGGTTTTAATTAATTGGATCAAAAAGATGCATTGACTAATCTTGAAGAAACTGTAGAAGACTTAAATGAATCAGCATTTTAAAATCTACGTAAAATGATTGGTATATATACTTAAAAAATATTGATTAGAAAGAGAAGTTAGACTTGAAGTATTAGTTAAAAAGACTGAAGAATTGACTAAGAATGCAGATATTATTTTTAAATATAGTAGAAATGTTCATAGAGCAACAAGAGGTAGCGAATTTAGATTTGGAGGAAAAGTCTTAATTCTATCTTTGGTTATATTTGCAATTTTGAGCTTATACATCTATTATCAAATTTGATACTTTATTAATAAATAATATTCATAGTCATCAAAATTATATAACCAATATCAATCCCCTTAAAATATCTATAAAAAGCTTTTAAGATTTCAATAGTTATGATTTAAGTAATTTTTTATTTTAGTCAAATTTTTATTTTAATTATCCAAAATAACGGATTATAGTTCTCTTTTAAATGTTAAATATTCTAATCCATTCTGTAATATATTTTATTATACAAAATCTTCTATTTTTGGAGAATATATATTTAAAATAATAAATAATACTATCAATTTTATTAGATAATATTAGACTAGACTGGATACTTAAAATCATATTAATATGACTTTTTGTTATTTTTATCTAATGATCCAAAAACATAAGTAGATTAATTACTTGATTAAATGGATTGTAGAATGAGAATCATTCAATTTATTAGATGTATCTATAAGAATTATATTTCTAGTATTAAAACTACAACTACAAAAATTAATTTTCTTATACTCGGGAAAATAAAACTTTAAAGTTTTGGATTATTTAATTGTTTAATTAAAAAAATATATTCAGAATCGTGTTTGCGTTTAGATTTTGAAATATATTATATTAATCAAATACTTCATTTTTTAAATAATAATAATACTAATAAATTTGACTAAAATATATAATTGTAATCAATTTTATATCATATACCATATCTTTATTATCCTTTTGTTTCTATAAAATTTGAATACTTATTTTAAAAGATTAGATTAATTTTTTATAGCATAAAAAAATGGTCTCGGAGGGGATCGAACCCTCGACCGTCAGCTTATTAGACTGACGCTCTAACCAACTGAGCTACGAGACCTGTCTTGATTATCCTTTCATAATTTTGAATTTAAGGTTAAAGGATTAAAGATCTAATCAGTGTAAAATGATAAATCCAATTAATATATGAGAATCTTTAAAATATTAATATAGGTATAACATTTAAATGATAGAACAATAATTAAGGAATCATAAATTATTTAATTATTTATGAAATTCCTCTCTATCAAAAATATATTTGAATTTAAGGATAATCATATAGATGGGGTCAGAAATAACTTATTAAAAAATTTAGGTAATCAAAATTTAGATTTTAAGATCAACTTTAGGGGTTGGGACTGCCAGATGTTTGTATTGTAACTAAATAGTAGCCAACTCACCTGATGAAATCTTCTTTTGAGACCTAATCTTCATTTCATTTTGTTTAAGGGTTATGTCCTTAATCTTAAGCAGATATTTTTGCATACCTTCAAACTATTTTCTAAAATTAGGAAAAATAAGAGCATTAAAGCTTGTTCTCTAAAATTCAGAGCATTTAAAAAGTAAAGAAGATTATCTAGATAGTTAACATACATTTGTTATGACATTTTTAGCAGAACCTTTATAGTGTGTGAAATTCAAGTGTTTCCGGAAGGGCAACATAAATCAAAATCATTTGGTGTTTAAGAGAATTAACAATACATATTGCCAAGTAGGTAGCATTGGCAAGGTGTGTATATAAGTAGTATATTAAGAGCAATTGATGAAGAATTTAAGCTGGCAAGCGTTGGTAGATTCTTTAATAATATAAACTTAAAAAACAATAATAAGTTGTCTGAAGTGATATAATTACTTTTAGAACTAATAACAACAAATATTAGCCTTTTTTAAGACCTTGACAAAATTAGTTCAATTAAAGAATTTCCTGATATCAAAGATGTTTTATTTTATTTATGTTGGCCTTTAGAAATATTAGTATAGTATTTAGAAAAATCTAATTAATTATCAATTTTAATAAAAGAATTAGAAAATATTGAAGACAGTGTCATATTTTATTTGATTAAAAGTATATTGTTCTATAAATTGAAGTAAATAAGATATTAAATTTAGAAATTATGAAAAATCACTATCATGTTTAGTTCAAATATCTTCTATTTGTCCACAATTAAATTTAATCAAATATATATTTGGAAAGGTTCTCATTAAATTAGGTAGATATAAATAAGCATTTTTAATGTTAAAAGATACTTTGATAAATTCCAATGAAAATTAAACAATTTGGATTACTTTGGTAAATTATAAGTTTATAGTAGGCTTCGATATTTAGAAAGAAAAATAATTATTAAATTTGTCTAAGCCTTCTCAACAAAGCGGCAGGATTAAGTGGAAATAAAACAAGAAAAAGTAAATGGCGTGAGATTCACATATAAAATTATCGAGTTTTGGCTCAAGATAATTCAATAAATAATCTTACTGATTTAGATAAAGTTTATGCAGTAATTAATCCTATTTAAGTAAATAAAATTGAGAGTTATTCTTAATTGAGTAATCATCCTGTACTTGAATAATTGCTTTTGAGACAAAGAGCCTTAGATAAAAAAGATTTAAAAGTATTGAATTTTTTAATTTATTAGAATTGGTATCTTTAAGCCCAAAAATAGATAATTAATCAAGCCTAAAAAATTGAAAAATCAACAATTGATTTCATTTCATAAAATTAATTACTTGAAAATAAATAAACACTCACATTATTTTAAAAAGAAATAATTAGGCTTTTTATTTAAGTGGGCCAAAAACAATTACAAAAATATTTATAACTATATTTCTATAGCCCACCTCATAGTTCCTATTCTTTTTTTGATAATAAAATAGATAAACAGTGCTTTGAAATTAAATTAAAAAGTAAGAAATAAAATAATTTACAAAAAGTAATAATTATATTCCTATATTAATAGAGATAACCTATAAATACATCTTCAATTACTTTAGGTGATATTGATTCAGATGAAGAATCAGAACCTGAATTTTTAAAATAAAATTTAAATAAAACATTTGACTTTACTAATACATACTCATAATCCAACTTATAATCCCCAAATACAAAATAGAAAAAATCAAATACTAAAATTACACAATAGCTCTTTGAAAAATAAATTAGCAAAACATATTAGGTTATTTAAGAAAATGCTTTCGAAAGTGTTGAATCAGAAAGAGATTGTGTTAATAAATGCAAAGAATTTGGTATTGAACTTTTGTAAAAAAGTAAAACTATGGAAACATTAAGTGAATAAAGTTGTAGAAAAGATCTTAAAGTATAAATATCTGGATTGATTGATCATCTTGATTAAAATACTCCTTAAGATAAATAAAATGAAATAGGAGATCTAATGAAAAGAAAAAAAGATACTTTAAATCCAATACTTTAAGAATTTGTAGATTAAATTTCTTTGACTTAAAATATTCTCGATGATTTATTTTACAATAACAATAAAAAAACAAAAAGTTTTTAATCCTCTTTATAATAATCTTTTAATTGTTCTGAAAAGTAAACACCAAAAACAAAAATACCATAAATATTTAAATCCTAATTAAAAGAATCTGTAAAGAAAAAAAATTATTTGTCTAAAAAAATAGATATTAAAGATATTTATAATTTATATGGACTATCATTTTAAGATAATGATGAGAAATTAACATATTTTTAATTTACTAAACAAGAATCAATATTTCTCTATAAATGTAGTAAAATTGCTACAAAACTGAAATAGTTTGAATTAGCATAAAAACTACTCGAAAAAATAAATACAAGAGTAATTTCTGTTTAAATTTCGTATTCATTATTACATATTTATAAGGATGATCATCCTTAATTAATTTAATTGTAAATAATTTAAATATATATATAGAATTTAAAAAACAATGGTAGATTTCATAGAATGCGGAATCTCTAAAATAGAATCAATGCCTTTATGGGTTGAAATACATTTAATTAGATTAATCAAATTAAAAGGATCTAATTATGTTTTAGGATTACTAAGTTAACTAGAAAATTAAGATGTTTTTAAATTAATGAAAAAAATTGTTTTACAAACTGAAAACCTTCTTTGACACAATTTTTTTGTTAAATAATTATTTTGTGTATAAATGGTTATATTAAAATTTATTTTTTTTTATTAAAACAAACAATTGTGAGTTTTATTTATTTTTAAAAATTGATGTTTTTAAACCAAATACTTAAGATAAATAATTATATTTATTATTCAATTTTTTAAAAGAATAATATAAGAAACGTTTTAATTTAAGATTTATAATCAAACAATTGTTTATTGAACAGAATTTCTAGCCTTAAATCTAGACTGATTAAAATTTAATTGAGAATACTCTTAAGTCTCACTTTTTTTTAATTTAGTGCTTTTTCTTATTATTTAAGATGTTTGAATTTATGAATCCTTTTTCAATACTTTAAAATTGGGTATTGCACTAATATGAGGAGATTCATGATCTACTTACAATTCATCTGGATACTTTTCAATTTCATTTATTTCCTTTTAAAGTAGATTATTGATTCTTTCTCCAGGTGGAATACCTTATATTGACTTTTTTTTAGTTAATTATTATTCATCATTATGAGTAATGTTACATTAAAAATATGGATGAGATAGAGCTGCTTCTGCACTAATTCTTTTTTCTGGATCAATTTCAAGTAGATTTGTCAAAAGATTTATTTCTTCTGGAGTGAGTTTATATAATTGAAGTATTTTTAAATCTATATTACAGATTTTATTCAACTTTAAAATTTCATTTGATGTTTTTCCTGGAAATAAATCTCTGGTAGTAACTCTATAATAAACAAGATAATTTATACAATTTAAAGAAAATACATCCTACACTAAAGAGATCTACTTTTTCATTATAACTATCTTTGAATTTTTCTGGTGCTGCATAACCAGGAGTTCCACATACTCTTAAATCTTATGAAGGATCAATAAGAACTGCTAAATCAAATTCTGTTAATTTTAATCCTTCTATGGAATCTTTGTTTTTAAATACTATATTTGTTGGCTTTATATCTCTGTGCATAATATTACTGGAATGGATATCTCTAACAGCAGTAAGCAATTGCTTTATTTTATTGATAATAAAAATTACTTTCATAATAATTAATATTTAAGTTCTATCTAATGTCACATTCATAATTAATTCATACAAGTTTGCTCCTTCCAAATACTCTTAAATTAAATAAACTGTATTTTCTCCATTATATACTTCATGTAAACTTTATACATAATCAGATCTAATATTTATTAAACAAGAAATCTCATTATGAATTCGTGTCTAATTTAAAATGCAATTAGTACAATAGAATCTTCAAACTAATTTTTTGCAAGACATTTTATTTCATATGAACTACCATTTATTCTGTCAATACATAAATATACCTAAATTTTTAGAATGAATTACTTCATCAAAATTTCCTTCTCCTAATTATTGCATAGGTTTGTAAAGTTCACTAACTGATTTATACATTATTTTATTTCTTATAGTTTATCGCAATTTTAAAAGCTCTTCATGAGTTGATTGAAATTATTTCTCCATGTTGTTCCATATAATACTAAAGCTTGTGATTTAGTTCATTTGATTTAGTTGCCATGAAATTGTATTATGCAAATCTAATTCAATTATGTATTTAGGATCCTTGCCAATCTTATTTTAATATTGAGGCATACTTAAGTTAGTGTAATCTTAGTTGGATGCAACTAAAGAATATATTTCTAATCAAAGAATGTGTGTTATCGAATACAAATGAAGCTTAACTAAGATTCCATTAATTAAATATTAGATTTTTATATTTCATTCAATTAGACCGAACTTAGATTCTTTTTTTCCATTTTCAATAATCAAAAGTGAATTGTTTCTAATAATTAATTTTTTAATTAAGAGAATCGATCCATTAAAATTAATGTATTGTAAAAAAATCACAAATTGGGTATTTTATTGTATATTAATGCAGAAAAATGATTCTTTATTTAGTTTATTTATTAAACTTTCATTATAAATTGTAGGTTGATTTGATTCAAAAATTAATATAGTTTATAAGATATATATTTATTGAATGATTCCTTTTGATTANTAGTAACTCTATAATAAACAAGATAATTTATACAATTTAAAGAAAATACATCCTACACTAAAGAGATCTACTTTTTCATTATAACTATCTTTGAATTTTTCTGGTGCTGCATAACCAGGAGTTCCACATACTCTTAAATCTTATGAAGGATCAATAAGAACTGCTAAATCAAATTCTGTTAATTTTAATCCTTCTATGGAATCTTTGTTTTTAAATACTATATTTGTTGGCTTTATATCTCTGTGCATAATATTACTGGAATGGATATCTCTAACAGCAGTAAGCAATTGCTTTATTTTATTGATAATAAAAATTACTTTCATAATAATTAATATTTAAGTTCTATCTAATGTCACATTCATAATTAATTCATACAAGTTTGCTCCTTCCAAATACTCTTAAATTAAATAAACTGTATTTTCTCCATTATATACTTCATGTAAACTTTATACATAATCAGATCTAATATTTATTAAACAAGAAATCTCATTATGAATTCGTGTCTAATTTAAAATGCAATTAGTACAATAGAATCTTCAAACTAATTTTTTGCAAGACATTTTATTTCATATGAACTACCATTTATTCTGTCAATACATAAATATACCTAAATTTTTAGAATGAATTACTTCATCAAAATTTCCTTCTCCTAATTATTGCATAGGTTTGTAAAGTTCACTAACTGATTTATACATTATTTTATTTCTTATAGTTTATCGCAATTTTAAAAGCTCTTCATGAGTTGATTGAAATTATTTCTCCATGTTGTTCCATATAATACTAAAGCTTGTGATTTAGTTCATTTGATTTAGTTGCCATGAAATTGTATTATGCAAATCTAATTCAATTATGTATTTAGGATCCTTGCCAATCTTATTTTAATATTGAGGCATACTTAAGTTAGTGTAATCTTAGTTGGATGCAACTAAAGAATATATTTCTAATCAAAGAATGTGTGTTATCGAATACAAATGAAGCTTAACTAAGATTCCATTAATTAAATATTAGATTTTTATATTTCATTCAATTAGACCGAACTTAGATTCTTTTTTTCCATTTTCAATAATCAAAAGTGAATTGTTTCTAATAATTAATTTTTTAATTAAGAGAATCGATCCATTAAAATTAATGTATTGTAAAAAAATCACAAATTGGGTATTTTATTGTATATTAATGCAGAAAAATGATTCTTTATTTAGTTTATTTATTAAACTTTCATTATAAATTGTAGGTTGATTTGATTCAAAAATTAATATAGTTTATAAGATATATATTTATTGAATGATTCCTTTTGATTATATAATAACTATTAATCAATTGAAGTAATATAAATCTTTCTTCTAAATAAATTGATTTTTGAATCTATTTATACATTTAGGAAAATTGAGATATTAATATTAATATAGCAGAAGTTTTACATTCAAGAGCAATAGATATTAAATTATATAATTCTACTTTTTCTAGATAGATTTTAACATAAGTATCCTTAATCTGAATATTAATGATTCAATCTGGTTAAAGTGTTTAACTTAATTGAATAAAATTTACATACCTAAGTCTAATTAAATTTAATCTTTGAATTAAATAATTCACACAGTTTAAAGAAGGAATTTAAGGTAAATATCTAAATTTTTATATTCTATATATTTCATTATATTTAAATGATACTTAGTTTGAGAATATTAATTTTTTGAATTAATTAAATCTCTAAGAGAATTCATGATGTATTAATTTCTTTTCTCTTAATTGTTGGTTATATAAGTTGTTACTATCATTAAGTTTTTGATTATAAAATATAAAAATAAATTAATTGATATTAAATGATATGCTATTTATGTTTGAAATATTCATGCAATATTGATATATTTTAAGCTTTTAACTACATAATTTAAGCCATCAAACTGTATCTTATAATTTTGATAATAAAATTAATTCTAAATATTATAGAAAATATTGAATCATCAATTCAATTTAGTATAATTTTACTTTTCTATGCAAATATAAATTATATATATAAGGATTGGAAATAATAAAATATAATTTGATTAACCATTGCTATTTTAGATTCTCTATTTAAGTTATTAAAAATAAAAGATTATAAGGTTTAAATGGTTTATTTTAAAAATAAGGGGTTCTTATAAATTAGGTTTATTATAAATTTTAATTTTATTTGATAATTAAATGAGTGGAAATAAGAAGATGGATGCATTGATAAGCATAAAAGCAGAAATCTAAGCATAAAAAGAAGGATAAGAAAAAATATAAAAATTATGTTTTGAAAATATCAATATAGGATAATTTACAAATGAAACATTAAAATTATTGTCAAAATATAATGATTTAAGTAAAAATGATGAATAAAGAAAGTATGTTTGGAATTCAATGATTGCAAATTGTCATCTTTGGATAATTTGGTAGGATTCCCAAATCTAACAAAATTACGATTATGCAATAATTATTTGGATAAGAATAGTCTCCAACATATTATTAAGCATTTTCCAAAAGTGACATACTTAGATATAAGAGGAAATAAAAAAATAAGCTAAGATGTATTTTATTATTTGAATAAAAAAAAGGATCTTAAAGTTTTGATTGAACTAAAAGAATTATAACATTTAGTGTTTAATGATAAAGATACTGATAGAGCATAATTGTTTGAATTGATACCATAATTAAATTATATTGATCATAAGGACAAGGCTGGAAATGAGATAGAAGATGAAGAAAATGAAGATGAAGAAGAAGAAGATGAGGATGAAGAAGATGAAGATGAAGAAGATGATGAAGAAGAAGATGATGAAGAAGAAGAAGATGAGGATGGAGAAAGTGCTGAAGAAGCAGAGGAATCTGAAGATGAATAGCCAGTTTAAAAAAAGAAGAAATTATGATGAGAAAATATTAAAAATAAATATAGACTCATTTTTTAGATGGTTCAGTCAATAAACTTTAATAAAATTTTAGGTTGGTAACACTTTTTGTATTTTTGAGTGTATCATTTGAACATATCACTGATGATAGTTATGATTATGATTATTGGGATAATAGTGATTGTTAACTATTCTAAGAATTTTTGGTTCTCTTCCTTACTAAAGAATCAATTGTGTCTTTGGTAACTTAAGTAGATGAATTTTTATCAAATTCATATACTTTGTATCTTTTCTATTAATAGAAAAAGGCACTTTCAAACATAGGTGTAAATTAAGTAATCAACTTCTGCTCCCTATTTAGTTATTCAAATAATATTCTATCATTTGTTGTAGGCTATTTAAATAATAGTTTGGTTAAATCAGGAATATAAGGAGGATCTACTTTTTTTTAAATATATTTTGCAATATCAACATCTTAAAACCAAGGATGTGCTAATATATCATCTACTCCATTTTTTGATCCCAATCTCTTACTTGGATCTTTAATCATAAGTAATCGTATCAAATCTTTTACTTCTGGACTTAATTTTTTAGGAAATGTCACTTATTCATTCAATAATCTTGTATATATTATATTTTTGTCTTCACAATAAAAAGGAGGGAGTCCTGTAACAAATTCATATAATAATGCTCCTAAACAATAATAATCTACTAAATAATTATGTCCATCATTATGAAACATTTCTGGTGCCATATACTCTGGAGATCCACAAAATGAATATGCATTTTATTCTGGTTGCATGTTGGGTCTAGCCAAACCAAAATCAGCCAATTAAATATGTCCTGTTATATCTATTAAAACATTTTCTGGTTTTAAATCTCTATAGATTATTTGTTGATGATGTAAAAATCCTAAGGCTAAACAGACTTCAATAATGTAAAATCTAGCTTATGATTCAGTCATTTATTATACTCTTTTCATATAACTAAACATTTCTCCACCAGGACAATAATCTATACCAAATATTATCCAATTTTTTGTTTCAAATACAAATTCTATCTTTGATGTGAATAACGAACCTTTATTTGTTATTTCTATAAGAATATCTCTTTCATTCTAAACTAAATCTTACTTTTCATTTTATATAACAAAGCTTTTGCTTATTAACTTTAACGCAACGAAACTACCATCAATTAATGATCGAGATAATATAACTGTAGAGAATCCACCTCTACCTATAACATGTAAAAATTGAAAGCAACTTAGATTCAATTGTTTTGGAGGACTTATACCAATAATGGGTTTCAACCTTATGGTTTTTCCAATCATATGATTCATTGGAAGAGAGGGTATTGTGAGATAATAATCAAAGCCAATATTTTCATCTAATGTTGCAAACCCAATAACTTAATAATTCCCTGATTTACTCTTTAATACACTTAGAATTTTATCTGTAGTTACATTAGGATGAAATCTGTGATTTTAGGTAACTTCTGAAGAATAATGAATGTAAACAGAAATTTCCTATTTAGGCATTTTATCAATAGAAGAAGACTTTCCTCCTATTTAAATAGAACTGGTTAGAAGATCTTCGACACTACTTCTGCGAGTCATTGAACCTTTTTCTAAGATGATTTTATTTTTATTTGTCAATTTTTAGTTTAGAATTAAGTTGATTCCCTTTGAAATTTATTGAAATGGGAAATTAGTTTCAGTTGGAACTTTCTAAGATTTTACTTATGGTTTAGGTTTATCTCTAGAATTTGATCGTTGTTAACTATGCACTCTTTCGGTTAAGCTACAATGATTAACCTTACGAGTTGAATCTTATTTAACCAAATCCTTCAATATAATTTAAGAGAGATTTCTTTAAAGGAATTTTAATGGAGATTGTGATGCATTTTTGCTAGTGTGATTTTTGGTACTCATTTAAAAGTTTTATATTACACGAGCTGGTGATAATATCTAACCACTTCGTTATCTCATTTATTGTTATCAAATAAAAAAATTATTATTATTTACATTTTTGATAAGTAAAAATAATTCAGATCAAAAAATTGTTATTAATAATTACATTCTATTTGTAATTTCTAAATAAACTATATCATTCTATAATATTTATTATTATTTACACTAGTTATATTAATTTTACTTAAATAAAAAGAATAGTTATATTCTATATTTTTTTATTATTCTTAATTAAAAACATGTATTAACTAATTAATTGATTATTTCAATTATTATTTCTAATAAAAATGGAATATTAAATTTAACTTTTATCATATATAATTTTATTGATATTTCAAAAAAAAATATCAACTCATTCTAATTTAATATTCTCCATTTTATGTAATATATCTAACCCATGGTAATGCATTATATCCACTCTTATCTTAGATTTTTAAATATCTAACTTAGAAACCAGAGACAGTAAAGTAGGGAATTTCAAAAGTGATATTAATAGGCATCTTCTAAAATTTATCTCTATTAGGTGATACAATTCTATCATTAATTATATATATACGTTGGAAGATGGAATACAGCATTCATCATAAAGTCTCTTTGACCTCCAAATTATTTTATACTCCAACACATAGCCTCTTTATCAGGCATATAATTAACAGAACCATGTGCAGTTCTAAATTGAGGTTATTCAGCATCATCAGGTACTGGAACAAAAATCTTAAAATGATTGATTATATAATCTTACTTCAACATTATTTGCAGTACTCTTAGGCTTGAAATTAGATTTAGCTTTAACTAAGAATTCAATCTTAGTTGCTGATTTCCTTTCAATCAATACATCCACTGAAAATAATGGTTTTACTCTTATATCCAATCTATAAGAAATTAATTCAAAATCACCATCTGGAGGTATAAATTAAATAACTCTTTCATTTTCAAATTTAGATAATCTAACACATTAATGAAACTTAATATCATCAAATTCAACTGCTCTTGATTTAGCTTAACGACCTTATGCTTCAAAAAATGCTTTATCATTCAAACCTAATTTTAATTCAGGCATTCCACTTAACATACATTTCACTTATACTTATCCTATAATCTCACTCTTTATTACATTTCCTTATTAACCAATTAATATATTCAATTTCTCAATAACATCCAAAAACACTTCATTCTTTTTATATTTAATTCCCTCCTTTCTCCATGATATCTTATTTGAAACCAATGCAACTACATTAAAATTACTTTGTTCTGGTTATTTTTTCTCTTTCAATTAGAAACTTTCAGTTTTTATGAATTCTTTTAAAATTTTGAATTCTGTTGTTTATGGATATCCATTATCAAGCATTTCATCTAACAATTCATAAACAACTACAAAATTATCTCGAATAGACTCTTCCTCAACATTTACGAAATATTCCTATAACACCTATACCAATCTAAATAAGAATGAAAAAATCATCAAACAATTAGCATTTTAAGAGCATACTGTCATAAATATTAAATTGTTATGCCTTATAAATATGTATGTATATCCATCTTTATCTATCATCACAGGTTTCTAAGTATATTCATCAAATTCTAATAATTTTTTATTAAATGTTTCATGAATATTTGCAGGCAATTCATTTCTATATTGCCTAGAAATCAAAACTCTTCCCTTCTAATCTAAAATGTATATTGATGAAATTCCAAACATTAATAATAATAAAACACGTCAAATTAAAATTATTTGTATATATGCATAATATCTAAGTTCTTCAATAAAAATAATAATACTTATAATAACTATTAAATACTAAATTTTATTGTTCTATAATTAATATTTGAAGTCCAATAGGAGGTACATTACTAAATTATAGATTTGAACTTGTTTTTTTAAATTATATATACTGTTTAAGAGAAATTTTAATTTAATATGGAAAAAAAATACAAAATTCCTGAAATCCTATTAAATTAATTTATTATTAAATAATAAATAGTATAATGGAGATCAATTTTGTATTGATAAACTTTATAATATTAACTATTATAATATTAAAGTTCATGATCATATATTTAATCTTTGGATTTATTATTATATGAATTCTTAAAAATTTTTTATTATATATAATTCAATACAAAGAAGTAGAAATTTTAGTGTTTTAAATATAGTCACTATTAAAAACTCAGAATTCAAAACAAATAAAAAAAATGATTTAAATAATAAAATACAAATTCTTATTTTCTATATATTCAGTGAAAACTCATATTATATTTATTTTGAAAAATTTAATCAAATATTTAGATTGAAAAATAGTCTATAAGATAATTTGTTTAAATTAATATAAAAATGATTGACTTTAAAAATTGGAAATATTTTATATTTATAATTTGAATTAAGTAAATAAAAGGATTGATATATAAGTTATAAGTAAAAATATTAAATAAGTTTTGATTATAACCATTAATTAGAAGTAGAATAAATGATCTTTAGTCTAAATTAATAATATTTTTTAATTCAAAATCCTTATTTAACTATTTGACCAGCTTTTGATAAATTAGCTGAAGACTTTTTACTCAAAATTGACATCAGTTCATTCTAAAGTGATACTGATAGATTATTTTTTTAAGGAGGAGATGAATCTGTTCTAAATTTATTGACTGATTATTCTTCAGATTATTATAAATATACTTATTATTATTAAGTTGTTGAAAAGTTGACTTTTTCTGATAATTCTTATTCTAATTATTGAACATATTCATCCAATTAATAAACTCTAGTTTATAAGGAACTTAATTATTATTTATAATAATCAATTTAACCTATAACTGAGTTTTTTTTGAGAATATCTTCTTTAGCAAAATTCAAAATTTAATAGTAACTTTATGAATTTATAGATCTACCTTAATATTTTAAATCGTATTTGTTTATTTAATATTTTAATTCTTTTAGCATTTTATTTACTACATTAAAATCTGTTTATTTTCCTTCTTCAATTTAATGAAATATTGGTATGAACTTTTCAAAAGTTTAATCAATAACTTCATTATCTTCAAATTCAAGATTTACTACTTC